ATACCGCTTTGCAATCGTGCTGTATAATGCAGCACAATATCACCGTTTGGAGAAGATGGATATCCAAAGCGGGTGCGGGGAAGGGGCGGGGCGAGAACAGCGAGTGGAAAGGGGTGAGGCAAGGACATGATGGAGTACCTCAAGGTTTGATGCAAAAACGCATAATCGCACCGGCTCGCCTGGTGCGTTCCAGCCTGGGTTGTTTTCTTGAGATTATGTTTGTGAGCGCAGTGATTCTTCGCAAAAACAAATTTTTTGGCATGTAATTTCCAATTTACTGGAAGGTCCTGTTTATAATTCTAATTGGAGATCCCTATTTGTAAATTTTCTTTTGTTTTTTTTGCTTTCAGTTGTTTCTTTAAAGAAATTTCGAACAATCCCGATATAATAATTTCGTATCGACTGCGCTGATTTATGAGCTCCCGAAAATTCTTTTTCGTAGCTTTCGAAATTTTCTTTCAGATTTTGCCGAAAAAAAAATTTTTTTTTCAAAATTTACGGTATTTTGCAGCTGCTGGCTGAATGTGGAAACGCCAACGATATGGGCATTCGCTGGGCCAGTTGGTGTTGTAATCGTGGTTTGCCTTTTATGCTCCTTAATAAGAAATTTTAATTAGCAGAATGCTAGCTTGTTAATTTCTACAGGTTATTCTGTAGAGCCGCTTCTATATATTGATTAGACGTAGAGTATCTGTGCTCGTCGCTCCAAAAACCAGTTCATCTAGAATCATTTCGGACAAACTGGTATTGTCACATCCTTGCTATTATAAAAATTTGGAGCATTTTTAATTCTGGAAAAGACATAATAGAAGGCGTGGGGTAAAAAAATACACGTTTGCTGACGTAAAAGTTTTGGGACTGCTAACTCTTCAAAAAAGAAAGAATGATGGCACAAGAACAAATTGGCCGTTATACAGGACTGGATCATTTTGATGCCAGAAAAGACGAAGAAAAGGGAAAGTGGGAGACAAAACAATAGTATTAGGAGTTATTAAAAATTGATGTATCTGAATCTTGATCTTATTGAAATTCCAAGCACTAGCTAGTTTATCGCTTGAAATGCCTGTTTCGTTTACGTAGGACAAATCATGTTGTAAACGCAGGTAACGCATGCTCTCCAAATAACATCGGAGAAATTTGATTTTTATTTTCATAAAAATATATGATTTTACAAGGACGTGTGATATTTACTTATGCAGCGCGTTCATTATGTGGCAGTTGTGTGCAATTATTTTTTCAAAGATTCCATTTTTGATTTCTTTTTCCAAAATAAATCTTTTGATGATTTTAGTTTTTATGCGTTTTTGCTGTGCAGCGCTATAACAAAAAGGCAAAAACTCATAGCCAGCAAAAACGCGTATTGTCCAGAGGTTGTCTGTGTGTGTGTGTGTTCGGAAGCGAGTGCATTTTGTCACCCACTTTCATCTCAGAAGCAGGAAAGCGGGGAGGCTGAAACTTCGGATATACGTTCCTACCCCGTCTGTCATCCTCCCGTTTCAAGATCTTTCCCCATCCGCGCCTAGACCCCGCGTACGGTCCCCCAAAGAATATGTTGGTGGCAAGCGATTTCGCGAGCGAGGCAAGGTAGAAAGCTGAAACTTTGCAGGGATCTCCTCTATACACTTGCGAGCTAAAGATTTTAAACTCAGCCGTCGAGCACCCCAACCACAGCCTCAAGCAGCTCCTCAACCCAAAAATCGCTAGCAGCTCGGACCTGAACCGCAATCATATATGTAAATTAACGTGCATTTTTTGACAGAGTAAGAAGATTGTAATTCGAGCAATACTTCCACTTTTTAGCGATCTGGAAATTTGTATTTGTCATTTTTTCGTAAAGCGAGCATTTACCGAAAAAAGGACGGGACTTCATGCAAAAAACCTGTAAAACAACTGCTAAAACCGGCAAAACCAGTTTTCTATAGTAAAACAGCTGCTACCTGAGCCCTTAAGTGCGAAGAACCCCTCACCCCCTCTCCCCGGATCCTCCAAAGGATATCCACCCCAGAACAGCTGCGAAATCACCTTTCCAGTCCAACTACTGTTCCGGAAAGTGAGCCTCGTGGCAGTCCTAAGATGTAGATTACGCAACTGTTCTTGGGAGGCGGGTGCCATGACTGTTCTAAGGGGGACACCGCTGTTCCTATCCTCTACCAGAACAATCACAGAAGGCGCCCCCTCCCCCTCCCCTCAACGTCTGCATATGCCAAGTACAAAAAAAGACCGAAAAAACACCAACCCCCCTCCTTTCGAACACCAAGGACAACCATAGCCACCTACGAACCAAACAGACACAAAAGTGAACAAGGTCAGACCGCTCCTCGGGAGGTTGTGTACCACAGCATCATATCGTACTCACAGAGTACCGCTTTGTAATTGTACTGTATATTGCAGCCCAGTACTACCGCCTCGAAAAGATGCATGTCCAGGCCGAGGGCGGAGAAGGGAGGAGAGGAGGGGGGCGGGAACATCGGGTCGAATGGGTGAGGCAGGGGCAGGGGAATCTGATGCAGTACTTCAAAGTTTGGTGCAAAGACGCATGATCACACCGGCTCGCCTGGTGCGTTCCAGCCTGGGTTTAAAGTTATTTTTATTTTCATTTTTAGGATAAATTTTCAAATATTTTGAATATCTGGTATTTATGTTTGAAGAGCTTTTTTTCAAAATTTCAGCCTACACCAGCTTTCATTATTCAACGATTTTCAGTCAAATCTGGTATTCCTTGGTGTTGCTCTTCATGTGGTACTTTCGGTACGTAGCCGCGATCGAACACGTGCAGAACAAATGTTTGGATGGTTAAAGGGCTCCGCAACACTCCTGTGCTTGCTTGGGGTCACGTGGATATTTGGCTACCTGATGGTTATCCAGGGTGCGCATACTGTTTTTGCATACATTTTCACTGTGCTCAACTGCTTACAGGTCCAGTCTTTTCAAAAAAAAAAAAAAATAAAAATTATCGCTTTTACAAACTCAACAGCTAATGTTCCTGTCTAATTATGCGTCTTCGTGTGTGTGCAAACGCAATCCTAGGATGAAAAGCATCAGGCCTGCCGGTGCGAAAATGCGCTTTGCACTAAACTTGGAAAAAACAGGTCGTTAACTACATGACTGCCGCTCTTTACACTTATCTTATGCGCTTAATAATGCAAATCATTGTAAATTTTCAATAAATAAAATGAACAATTTCCGATTAACGGTCGTTCCATGAAAATGCTATATTTCTACAGTAAGCAATTTTCCAGCCACTTTTGCGTGCTTGTACGTGAGCACCACGCGTATCCTGAGGACTAAATCTGAAATCCTTACGTTGTGCTCAAATGTTTGAAACATACTCTCAAATTTCCAGCCGCCCTGTTCCCCTATCCTTGAATTAGCAATCTTCCCACTATCATCTGTTGTAGGTAATCTGAACTCTCATCAATCTTCGTCACCGACCTGGCTATATTTCAGCTATCTTCTCAATCTCTGCTTCTCCTCCAAGGATGGGCTACCGAGCCGAAATAGTGCCCTCTCAATCTCTGCCACAGATCACACTACACTTCCGTCACATTCTCAATCTCTAACACTTCTTCCTTCTATACACTGCAGCAGTATAAAAGAGGCTGAGACTGAGAAGGCGATGAAACACACTGCAACTGGGGACAGAAATTGAGAGGCTTTGCGAAATATTGCAGTGCCGGATAACAAACAGGCTGGCGATTTTTTACTACGGTAATAGTACGACAGCTACTTTGGAATCATCGTTATTTTTCGGTGGATAGCTGGTTGGTGATTGCTTAAGGGAGCTTCAAAGTTTGTTTTTGATTGTTGGGGGCTAGCAAGATAAGGGTAGAAATGGGAACAAAATGTTGACTGTTTGTCTGTGATAGAATCAACTGCAAAAAAAAGATACTTTGTGACTAATTGAGTATTTTTCAAGCAAGAAATCGAGAAAAATGTTCATGTGTCTAGAAAATTTGCAAAAGTTTTGCTTCTTCAACTATGTAGCTGGCGGCTTTCCAAATGCCTTGATCAGTGCTGCATCGCTCCTTGGTCAGCTTGCTGCTCACAGTTTTTAACAATTTTTATGTTTGTTTTACATCTTGAACGGACCACCAATGTTGAAATAATAAAGATGATATTACGTTGAAATAATGAAATAATAAAGATGAAGAAAACAATTAAGTAGGTTCATAAATGATCAAAAAATAACTGTTCTTGTATGTATGTTTAGGGTGCGTTCATTTTCATCATTCACGTTATTCTTAACGACAAAGTACGTGTGACGTTAATTCGCTTTCTACTCGTGCACATATGCTGCATTTCGGATCCGGGTCCTGGCAATACCCCGAGTATCATCAGCAGTCGTCAAAAACTTATCAATACGATGAAGAATGGCGGTGATTTGTCCTACAAATCTTCACAACAGTGTTCTGATAGTTTTGCGCCGAGCAGCACGAAGAGTGAAAATAAAGGATATTTTGTGGAAAAAACACCACCACGGTCAAAAGGTATGTATTTTCGCACTGGTAATGGAAGCGATTTGCGCAAAGCCTACGCTGTAAGCTAAGTAAAAGATATTTTAGAGCTTAACCTGCGCATTTCACAGCATACCTAGATAAATTCATAACATACATATAGAGCATTCCCGTTACATATGTCATGCGTAGCGAATTTTGGGCGATAACAATAGCGTATCAAATTCAAACAGTTTCTAACTGATAACTTGTAAAATGCATATATCATGGGCAACATGTATATGGATTAAGTAAAACGCAAAAATTTATGTAACAAGTCAAAAGTGCAGCTCTGCCAAAAGCGGAAAATACCTAGACGGTGCATTCATTTATTCTTTCCTGTGGCAAAGATACTGCCATAAGTCAGAGCGTCAAACCTTCTATCACCGTCTTTTAAATCAACTACACCTTTTCAGCAGTTACTGTCACGTACTTCCAGTTCGGTTAATTTCAATTATAGCCGCCTGTCGTAGGGAACAAGTACGGAGAAGATTTTGACGATTGATCCCATTTCATAAGGTGGACAAATTTTTGCAGCCAGAGAAAGCCCGGCAACAATGATAACTTATCTAGAATGGAAAAGTAAGCTGTCCAACGAATCCGGCAGTATTCCATCAGATGATTCCGGGAACTACGACTGTGAACCGAAGGAAACGCGATCGATTTCGGATGAAGTCGAAATCAGCGCATCTCGAAATGAATCAGAAAGGAGCACCGACTGGCATTCAGTGACTGTACGTCGAAAAATGCACAGCAACATCGGAAATGAATCAAATCCAGAATCGAGCAGGATTTCAGACCAATCAGTTATTGTTGAACGATTTTGAGAATTGTTATTATCATGTAGATATCAGATTAAATTTCGAGTTTCAAAATTTCGGACGATTCCAAGATTTCGATTATCAGAGCTCAGGCTTCTATAACAGTGATTGGGGTTCAGAATTTCTAGAATATTTCAAAATCCATATCCCCAGATATGGATTAAAAAAAGAATTAATTTAAATACACCAAAGTCTTAGATCCCTTGAATTTAATACTGTGCTGACCTAGAACTAATTTCATCGAAGCAGTTCATGACCTGATCTTGACTTGACCTGGGTTTTAATCCTTTCAGAAGAGTTTAACACTGCTTTGTGCTCTGTAAAGCATAATTTTTTTTATTATTTGTTGTCCATATAAAACTTTCTTACTAGTTATATTTGAATAACGGACTAATGCAAAAACCCAGGGATTTCAAGATTCGATTTTTCGTAAACAACCAAAATTCTAACCAAGAAAGATTATTTAAAACGTTGTCCCTGGATCATTTTCACTCCTTCAAGCGCATAATCTAGCCTCCAGGACAAGATCTATTTATAGAAACCAAGACCACTTATTCCCGCCTGGTGCCACATTTCCTTCTTAAAAAAGCTGAATAATTTTTTTTGCCAGGCCAAATAATCTGTCAGCAAAACAGGTCATTTGTCGAAAGTTTTGCTGAATACCATTAAAAATTGATCACAAATTAGAAGTTTCTTAGAATGCCTTCCACATTAATAAAACGAAAAATGTACATAATATTTATTGCTTTTATTCAGTGTTTTTTTCCGAGGAGCTTTAAATATTGTTTATGCATATTAGTGCTCAAATAAAAAACACACACAGACAAGGTCTCGATAATATATGTTATGTGCTACTGTTACAGCACAAGACGCAAAAAAAACGTTACTCGAAGCAAACGTTACAAAAAGCGAAAACGGGGAATTCGCTTTGCTCTAGGCATATATTCGGAGCTCAGGAAGATGTTCGAACTACCGTAAACTAGCAACAAGCAGTTGTAAAAATGCAAAGAAATACAGACTTTCATCGACGTCATTTACTTATTACTGGTGGAGTATCAGGTGGCTTAGCCAGAAGAAAGAACATTTTTAAAAAGGTGGGGAAGGGGATAAAGCATTTTTGCAGGAAGAATGATTCGGGACGCCTTTCACTTGGTTATTAATATTTAAAAATGGGAGTATTCATTACAACGAATACCAAGATCGAAGCGGCTATTAGTGTGGTTATTCCGCGCCAACGATGTGACTGGAATGCTCCCACACGTCGGTCGTACCTGTGTCAGGCCCTTTGATCCGGAGGTGCAAGCATATCTAATAAACCGACAAAAGAAAAAATAAATGGCAACGCGCACCAGACTAGCCGGTGCGATCATGCGTTTTGTGCAGTTCAGCCCA